TTCAATCATGGATTACAAAAAACTCTAATCATGGGTTACAAAAAAAGCAAAAAACAAAAAATTCAATCATGGATTACTAAAAAAAAAACAAACATTTCGATCATGGATTACAAAAAAAAGCAAACGTTTCGATCATGTATTACAAAACATTCGATCATGGATTACAAAAAATTCTATCATGGGTTAACTAAAAAAAAAAAAAAACAAAAAAAGCGATCATGGATTACAAGAAAAGAAAACAAACATTTCGATCATGGATTACAAAAAATTCTATTATGGGTTACAAAAACCAAAAAATTCGATCATAGATTACAAAAAAACAAAAACAATTCGATCATGGATTACAAAAAAATCAATCAAGTATTACTAAAAAAAAAAAAAAAAAAAAACCATACGGACTCGCCGATTCCGTACAGTGAATCGGCGAGTCACTGTGCGGAATCATCCGGTTCTCTCTAGAACTGGACGATTTCCGATTTTTGAACCGATCCGGTCCCTTTTCACGAATTCCGAGTCGAACCGGGCGAGTCCGGTTCGACTGGACGTTTTTTAAAACGCTGATTCAAAGTATTTCAATCCTATCACAGTATTAACATGCTCTCTCTCTCTACCCAACTTTTCCAACATAAATTGAAAGTATTTCAATCCTATAAAAGTATTAACAATTCAGTCTCTCTCTCTCACTTTCTCTAAAGTTCAATGCCAAATGTCCTAAAAGAGTAAACTCAATTTGTTGATAATGACAAAGCATTTTCTTGCTTTCCCTTGTGCAAGTAAATAGCTTTTTCCAATAAAATTGATACTTCAATGCTTGCCTCGAGGCTATGTCATGTGCATTTTTTAATTTGTTTTTGTTTTTTTCTTTTTTTTTGACAAGAGCACTTACTTTTTATTTACTAAATGGGAATTATAAGACATTTATCAAAATATAACAGATGACACTATCAAAGGGTCCAGCAATGCACCTTTTGTCACCAAACCATATGCGATCTCATTTGCTTCTCTATATACATGATGTAACTAAAACAATGTTAGCTCCATAACCTGCAACACAAGGATCTAAGACGCCAGATAGTCTCGGCATCTTATTACACGTTGAGGGAATCACCTTCAATAACCAGCATATCACCAAACAAATTTCTTTCCAAATTAAGACCCTTTACACAAGAGCAGTAATTTCAACATGATTGACAGATACAGCACTACATGAATGAGCATAATAGCAGATGACCGAACCGTTAC